TTATGGTGGGTGTTCAAAACACCCCTTTCTACCTCTTCGCATCGAAATTATTTCTGTTGCAATTAGTGACGGGTTATTTCGTCTGGACAGTGGACTATATGGTCACCGGCCTAGATTACGACATGTTTTTGAATTCAGTAGATTTACATTTTCACGCTTCGGTCGGTGTTAGCACCATTTGCTCATTGTTCATACTCGTGATATACAACTTGTTTTTGGGCTTGGGTTTTGCTATTTACATGAATGATTCTAAAGAAGAGTACTGCTTTCGTAATGTTTACAGGTCCAGTTTGAGTTGAGAAGAAATATACCGTGTTGCTAAAGTTCTGTCTCACCCATCTTCAAAGTACAATAACGCATTTACTATTCTACATAGTCAAGCGAAATGTGGTTGATATGATTCTCATACATTTTACGCCTGCATGACAAACATAGAATTGGTCAATGCCTTTCCTTATTAAAAAAGATATTCACACCGACCCTTGCAAAATTCAAATGAAAGTTTGCTCAATATTGCGTGTTGCCCCTTCTAGCCTGATCTACTATTACAAAAGGTGTGTTATAGACTGCATTAATGCTTTTATGGTTGCCTGAGGAATCTCCTGCTTTTCCTTGCTGTTGTTGATGTTGTTGTTGTTATCGACCCAGCAACAGTTGGGCTCTCGCCCTTCTGTCCAATGCAATGTAGTGATAAGTGCAGGTTTGCTGCAGTTGCTGTATTGTTTCATAAAGTGTGTTATCAATGTTAAGTCTCGGAGGGAGAAGTGTAGTACTCTGATGTCATTTAGGGCGTCATTCCTTGTGATATGCAGCCTTTATTTCCTGATAAGTTGGCACGGAGTGCAGCATCTTCCAGTCTAGGTCATATTACAGATGTCCTGTTAGGTTAAGGCCTGTTGATCTTGCAGGCCAGTCAAAAACATTGATTTGATGAGTTTGGAATGAGTTTTTACTGATCATGGCCATACGCGATTGGGCGTTGTCTTGTTGGCACATTCCATTATTCGTGCCATGCAGGACAGAACACGGGGACGAACAAAATTTCGTAACAGTACCGTCATCCTTTGAGGTTGCTTTGAATAGTGACCAAGCGTGTACGATGAAAGGCAGAGATTCCACCCCATTCCATCACACTTTACCCACCAAAACGGTCCACTTGGCAGAGGTTTTCAATATGAAAATTTTATCTTCTTCTTTTAAACATGTATTCTCTTCTATCAAAGCGACGAATAAAAAAAATCTGGGCCATTGCAGAATAGAACATTATAACAACGCGCTTGGTTCCATTTCCTATGTTGTTGCGCCTAAATTTTGTGATTTGTTGTTGTTGATGAAACGGGGTTGGAATTGCTCGACATGAAGGGCAAAAATCACGTAATCCACGTTCACGTAAATGTCTAATTATGGTGTTTTAAGACAGTTAAAAGTGCCTGGCAGTCTCTGCACACTTAGAACGGATTTCGAACATGAGTGTTGACATTGTCCTAATTCAGACGTCGAGTTGTCGCCCTTTGTAAGCCACATCTAGGCCTGTCTTGGACAGCTGTTCTTGTGGGGTCAAAATGCATGTTGAAGCGTTGGAGGGTTCTTCTACACACATTTACGTGTCTTGAAACAGCAGGAAGCGCAATTTCAGAATCTATAATGCACACAGCAGTTTCACCTTCTGCAATTTTCAGTTTTGTTATTTTGAAAGAAGACGAACCAAGAACTCAACTGTTAAAAAGCACTGATTTTTATAGTACGCAAGGCGTGTTTACACATTGTTTATGTGTTTCAGAGTAAATTTAGTGTGTAGGGTGCATTGGTTTCAAAGTACATCGTGAGAAAACATTACCAACACTTAGCCCACGTACTATTTCTGGTTATGATTTCTGTCATCTCCACATGCACCAGGAGTCCCATAAGTCACACAAGTCATACTCTTTCATTTCTGCTAGGATTTTTACGCTTTTGTGGAAATAATCGTTGTAAAATGAGGGTGGCAGAACTTTTGAAACGCAGTATTTTTTTATACGGTTATATATGCAAGTTATGCACCCCCTTCCCTCTTTTGCATCGCGACCTTATAATTTAACAATGGCACCCCTTTCCCCACACGCGTAAAAAGTGTTGAACTCAAAGAAAGAGCCAAAAGAATGTGACCCAGGTTCTATATATTTTAATGGAGAACGATGACTTCCATGTTGAGCTTCAACTTTGACATACCTCAAATAATTTTGGTTACATCAATGGGAGCGTAAAACTTTTAAATCTTTCAATTCACAAAAAATATATGACACATTAGGACCCCAGAAAGCCACACAGACAAACGGGTAACTGTGTTTGTCTCTGAACTTATTCGAGCTGTTCTTTTTCTCCAGATCCAACATCCAGCACCATCATGGCAAACTTCGAAGATCTCATCGAAGAGCTCGGGGGATTGGGAAAGTTCCAAGTCTTTCTCACCTTCTGTATCATCTCCTGTCAGTTCTTCATAGGCTGGAGCATGTTGCAAATGTCTTACTCAGGCCTCATTCCGGACTATCGTTGCCTTATCGGTGATGACGTCGACAACACTACCCAAAGGTATCTGAACAACAATCTCAACGTATGTGAAGTCAACGGAACATCTTGTACGAGTTATCACTTTTACGGATCTTCCAAAACCGTTATCAGCGAATGGGATATCGTCTGCGATCTCAAATGGGCCAAACCTACTATTACGTCAGTGCAGATGGGCGGTGTGCTGCTCGGTGCGATCCTAGCAGGTCAAATGAGCGACACGCTAGGCAGGAAAAACTCTCTCTACTCTTTCGTCACTTTCCACATTGTGCTGAACGTAGTAGCGGCGTTCTCTGTCTCCTGGATCATGTTCGCAGTGTTGAGATTCTTCATCGGCGTAGGCATCGGCGCAGTCGTCGTCATTGTTTTTAATTACCCAATAGAGTTTCTACCTATCAAATGGCGACCTGTGCTGTCAATCATCCCTTCCTGGACACTGGGCGTTGCTTTATTCTCCGCTGCAGCTTTAGTTCTCGATAACTGGTCACACTTACACCTGGCCTGTGCTATCTTGTCCACACCGTCACTGCTTGGATTTTTCTTTGTTCCCGAAAGTATCCGGTGGCTTGCCGTGCAGGGGAGGCTGAAGGAAGCAAACGCAGTCGTGGAGAAAATTGCCCGATTCAACGGAACTGAGATACCTGTAAACACCGCAAAAATCTTACAAGAGGTCGTCGATACAGAAAGGAAAAGTCGGGAAACGGCCCAAAATTATATATACCTTGACTTGTTCCGTAGTCTCAACATGGCCAAAAACAACGTTGTTCTTTGGTTTTTCTGGTTTTCATTGTCTTCCAGTTTTTACGGAATATCGTTTGGCGTGGCAAGCTTGTCCGGCAATCTGTATTTGAATATCTTCCTTCTGGCAATCATGGAGCTTCCTGTGCAGTTCAGCACATTCTTCCTCAACAACAAATTCGGCCGAAAGAGGTCGAGTCTGGCCTTCTTCACGTTAGCAGCTCTACCTTGTCTGGGATGTCTTCTCGCTCAACTCTTAGCCTCAGATGACGTTCGGGGGCCCGCTGTCAACGGTTTGAGCCTTACCGCCAAGATGATGGTCGGCGCCGCCTGGTCTTGTGCTCAGATCTGGACCTCCGAGCTTTACCCGACAGTAGTGAGAAATCTGGGTTTCGGATTCGGCAACGTAGGAGCCAGAGTGGGCGGCATTGTGGCACCGTTCATCATCAACCTGGACGACATGCCTGTAGTCGCGTACGCCGTGATGACGGGTCTGCTGTTCTCCTGCTCGGTACTCACACTTGTGCTGGCCGAGACCAAGGGCTCAACATTGAGTGACAGCCTGGCCACAGACACAGAGGGCGGGAAAAAACAGAACCATCATGAGAAAGGAGAAATGGATATGGGGAATAGAGTGGGTGGAGGGGGAGGAGAAGGCGAGAAAACAAAATTAGAAAACTGAGTTTAGACGCTCAAGGAGAAAGTAAGGGGATGTGGTAATAATAACAGCCATTAAAACTGTTGGAAAATGACTAACTATTACTTAAAAGTCAACTGTTCCAATCAAGGTCAAAGCCCCATTCATCATTAAAATAATCAAACCAACGAAAGGATTTAAAGTTTTACTTATTCTTTTTAATAATTTTCCAAACTAACCAGTCAAGAGAAATATTTCAACTGTTCATGGAAAGTGGTCCTTTATGCAATATCCCGAATACATTTTAACATTACCATATATCAGGGTCCTCGACTTAAAAGTGAATCCAAGCATTTTTCAATGTTCATACAAAATACTAACAAAGAATCACCCGTAGAACCACCCCATCCCAAACCAAACCAAAACAAAACAAAACGAAAGAAGAAAAAAACCCTATCAAACAAAGAATAAACAAGCAATTTGAAACTGCACAAAAACAACAGCAACAACAACAACAACGACGACGACAACAACAACAATAACAACAACAACAACAACAACAACAGTAACGACGACGACAACAACAACAACAACAACAACAACAACAACAACAACAGCAACAATTTTTTGCCTCTGCTTCTCTGCACACCCTTCCTATACAATTTTGTTCTTTAAAACTGGATTTAGTTGTAACAAGAGTTTGTAAAAATCTCTTCATCCGCCTAGCTCAGTTTTGGAGATGGACGTTGAATCTAAAGATGCCACAAATAGTGATGTTCTTGCCTCTCTCGAAGTAAATACGTATAAAAAAATTGCCAATGCTATAAAACAAATTACCCAGGTTTGCAGTATAAAGGGCAGGCAGTTTTCTTCGATAAAAAAAGAAAAAAAAAGAGGTGAATTCGATTCCTGAGCGTGGAAAACAATTATTCGTACAAGTATTATGTGTATCATACTACAATGTTGAATTTTGACAGGACTCATCCTGGCATTTTACCTCCTTAGAGATATATAATAAATGTGTGTCCTAGAACGTTCGACAAAGGATCAGACTCCTTTTCCCATTCTCAGTAGATAACCTGTCCTTTCAACATCGATTGGAGCTATAAGAAGAGTGTAACGTTTATATAAAATTAAATGGTTGTTTTTTTCTGATAGATAGATAGATAGATAGATAGAGATAGGTAGATAGATAGATAGATAGATAGATAGATAGATAGATAGATAGATAGATAGATAGATAGATAGATAGATAGAGAGAGACAGCGAGATAGGTGGATAGAGAGACAGATAAATAGATAGAAACAGTAAGACAGGAAGAGATTGACGTTAATGTTATTAATGTGCCTCCAGTTTAAAAAGAGAACTTGAATACATACATTTGAGGGAAAAAATCCTAAAACGTACAGTATGTCCAAAGTTCGGATAAGACAAGCGTCGTCAACAAAATGGGAAATAAGCCGGAGGATCAATATGATTGTCAAGGGACATAGTATATAT